ACCTGATGGCCAGGCAGGGAGAGCTGCAGAAGCCGGGCAGGCAGAGTCCCGTTCAGGGAGAGCTGCAGAAGCCGGGCAGGCCGAGTCCCGCTCAGGGAGAGCTGCAGAAGCCGGGCAGGCAGAGTCCCGCTCAGGGGGAGCTGCAGAAGCCGGGCAGGCAGAGTCCCGCTCCGGCTGCGGTGCACTGGGCCACAAAAGGTGCGAGGACTCAGCCGGGCAGAGGGCAGCACAAGCTCAGCTCTGTATTCTGGGGGAAGAAAAAAAAAGGCATTTCTTGGAAATCTCCTGCATGCCCGGTGCTGGCAGAGCTTGGCTGACAGATTCACCCGTTTACGGGATAAAAGACTAAGCCTGGGAGAGGCAGGCTGGCTTGTCCAGGGTCCCCCGAGAGCCCCACCCACCCCGCTGCCCACAGCCCTGTTCCTCCCCCAGGCAGTTCCTCTGGAGCTTCCGGCTGCCGGGCGAGGCCCAGAAGATTGACCGGATGATGGAAACGTTTGCCACTCGCTACTGCCTCTGCAACCCAGGCGTCTTCCAGTCCACAGGTGCCAGTGTGGGGCGGGACCGGGGCTCTGGACCCCTTAAGCATCGCCAGGCACAGATCTGCCTCTCAAAGCACCATGCTTACCCAACTCCCTCTGGTTTCTCCAAATACCCAGACCCTGGGAGCCCAGATCATTCCAAGCCCTCACTGAGCATCAGCTCTGTGCCCGCCCCTCTATTGGGCACTTGTTGGGCAGAGCTGCCGCTCATGCTCCTCGGGGGAGGAGGCAGGAAACCATGGCCCAGGGTGCTGGGCAGCAGCACACTTGTCTGAGGGCAGGGACTGGGGAGTCAGCATGTCCAGGATGGCTTGCTTCCCAGAGGCAGTGGGGTCTGAATGGGGCTTTGAAGGTTGAATAAGAGTTCTCCAGAAGGTCAAGGGGATAAAGGGCAGTTTGAGCAGGAGTTCTAGTTCAAGCAAAGGCCCTGGGCAGGACAAAGCCGGACTTCCCTGGCTCTGGACACACACCCCAGAGCAGCAGTCACCTCCCTCCCAAATGCTCCGCCCAGTGCGCTGCCTCGCACGTGAACATCTGGATCCGAGAACAGGGGCCCCACGATGCGGCCAGATTACCAAGCAGCACTGACTAAGCCCTGAACAGCGGTGCCAACAATAAGTGCTCCCCGAGACCTGGGAGGCAGAGAACAGCGTGGGCAGAGGGGCTGGCGGGCTCTGTGGGGCAGAGCGCTGGAGCTGAGAGGAGGACTTGACTGGATAGGAAAGGGGAGGGAGGGGACGCCCGGCAGGGGCCCCACAAGAGCAAAGGTGCAGGGGTGGGAAGCACCGAGGCTCCCGGCCGTGGCCGCAGGAGTGGCTTTGGAGCAGGGAGTCCAGTAGGAGTGGAAGGTGAGCCCGGCCTCGAATGCCAAGCCAGGAGGAGAGGGGGCCCTGGAGAGGCGGGCCCTTGGTCCCTAGGAGGAGCCGGGGCAGAGGAGGGGAGAGCGGCCAGGGCAGGCTCTGACCCGCTGTCCCCACCCACAGACACCTGCTACGTCCTGTCCTTCTCCATCATCATGCTCAACACCAGCCTCCACAACCCCAACGTCCGGGACAAGCCACCCTTCGAGCGCTTTGTGTCCATGAACCGCGGCATCAACGCCGGCAGCGACCTGCCCGAGGACCAGCTGCGGGTAAGGGGGCGTGGCCTCGCCAGCCCCGGCACCTATGGGCAGCCCGAGGGGGCTCCTCTGAGCTGAGCCATCGGGTTGGCGACCGTCTGGAGTAGGACCCCCGTAAGAGCCTGGTCCTGGCATCCCCCTCCCACGTGGCCCCCGTGTTCAGAGGTAGACCACCCAGGAGGTCCTCCCAGGCCTCAAGCTTTGAGGGACTCTGGCATCCATCATTCACACCTTCCGGAAAGGGCGCCTCAGGCAGCCCGTCTATTTCTTGGAATCCCAGATTCTTAGATGCTGAGTGCGTCAGAGCTGAAAACCCTCACGCTCTCCCCGCTTCAGAGGGAGGAAACTGAGGTCTCCCGCAGGCTGCACGTCAGCTCAAGAGCTAAGCAGAGCCCAGGGCTCCTGTCTCCTCGTCAAGCAGCGCCCCACTCGGCCACCCTGCTCCAGGCCCGGTGGAGTACAGCCCTGGGTGACTCGGGCTGTGCTCACTGGGAACACGGCCACGGAGACGCAGAGGACACTACCTCCCTCTCCTGGGGGCAGGGAAAGGTGTCGCCCTGGAAGACTCCACAGAGGGGGTGGCTTTGACCTGGGCCTTGCAGACTGAACAGGAGTTTCCCCCGAGGAGAAGCAGAGAAAGGTCACTTCCGAAAGAGGAGGCGGCCAGCACCCAGGACTGGCCTGGTTGGGGAGGGGAGGGGAGGGGAGTCCGGATCGGCAGGCTGGGGTGCGGGTGCCTGTGGACAGTGACGGGCGGCATGGTGGGCCCAGGGTGTCCGGGCGTTTGGATGGCAGCCGCGGGAGTTGGCCTGTTTTCTGTGGGCCACAGGGTGTCGGGAGCAGTTCTGCAAACACTGGCGTGAGATTCAGAGCCTGGCTCAGCACAAATGAATGGGTAGTTCATTTCTCGGAGTGGACATGCCCAGAGCTCCATAGAGCCCCAGTCCGCTCCAGGCCAGAGCCTGGCAGGAGGGGGGCAGAGTGTGAAGCCCACGCTCCCGGCTTAGCACCATGTACCTCCTGCAGAAGCCGGGGGAGCCTGGGTCCGGAATGAGGCTGGCGTCCCCCCCACCCCTTGTCTGAGAAGGGCCCTCAGCCCCCCCACGCTTCTTAGTCCCAGAAGGGAACATTGATTGTGGCGGGAGCTCTGGTCAGATCTCGCCTCCCCGCCTGCCTGCCGCGTGACCTTGGGAATGACTCACCCTCTCCCAGCCACCAGCCCCTCAGACAACAGAGATAATGGCGCCTGTGTCACCGAGCTGCTCTGAGAGCCAATGTTTTCAATGCAAAGGGCACAGCCCATGCAGGGACAGAGCAATTGGTGGCTTGTGCCACTGGTAAGAAGAATGAATCATGATTTTAACACCCCCCGGCACTTAGTCAAACGCCTGAAACATAAAAGGCACTCGAGAACTGTTGACTCACCTCATCATGGCACTCCGGCAGAAAGCTGGGCACACGGCTGGCAGTTAATGAGTTAATGGCCAGCCAGCCCAGTCCTGCCCATCTCCCCTTGCCACAGAGTAGCATCAGCCCCCAGGGAGCCTTCCCAGCACCTCCCTCCTGGATCTTAGCGCAGTTTAAGCCATTTGTTGATCACAATGCGTTGCATTTGTGTGGAGCTTGTAACTTTCTGCTCACAGGGCTGGCTGGTCTGTTATCTCAGTTTTGCCTCAGACTCTGCCTGGGGGGTCTGGGAAGGGTTCATCCTCCTCCTTGGCCACCGAGAGAGGCAGGGACGGAGCAGAGCTGAGAGGTCAGGCCACACCCGAGTCCTGGTCCCCACGTCCTGGTACATGACGTTAGGTAAGTGGCTTGACCTCCCTGAGCTCCCAGCTCCCAGGATTAGTGTAGGAAGGGAAGGTATTTAGCAAAGTACCTGGTACAGTTGGAAGGGCTAGTTCATCCAGAAGCTCCCAGGGCACACGGAGACCCACCCAGGCCTGGTCCTTGCTATCCAAGGCTTTCACAGGTCGCTGCTGTGGATGGCCGGACGGTGCGGGGGAGGGGGGTCTCCTGGCCTTCTCTCTGGGCCTCCTCTTCCTCATATGCAAAGCCAGGACTCGGCTTTCAGCACCTTCGGATATTCAAAGTTGGCCCCTTTGCGGAAGGATTCCTCGTGGAGCGATCCCAGCCCGGGCCCTGCGGAGGACTCATAGTGCTTTGAAGAGCCTGATATAGGAATTAAGCTGCTGCAGGTGCCGCCCCTAAAGAGAGGCCAATCCGAGGGCTTGCGGACCATGACGGGGCACAGCTGGGAAAGGCTCAGACAGGGGCGCGGTGGGGTTGAGACACGGGTGGGTCGAGCAGGTCTTCCCTGGCCCTCGTGATGGGACAGGCCACAGTGCCTACGAGACTTGGGGCAAAGACACGGGGTGTGGACTCAGAGGATGGAAGATCAAATCCTAGCGCTGCCTTTATGGCTGAATGACCTTGAGTCTGGGCCTCAGTTTCTTCATCTACAAAGTGGGCTGATGACACTGATCCCACATCATCCTTCTAGAAGCAGAGATAATGCACTTCAAGTCCCTGGCACTTGGCAGGTGCTGGAGAAATGAGAGGAATCACTTACCGTGAGAGCGCTGCCCAGAGAGGGAGGAAGGATGTGAGAGGAGAAGGAGGAGGGTTACAAGTGGAGAAACTGAGGCCGGGCAGGGGAACAACCTCCCAGTTCAGGGCATCTTCTACTGTGGAGTCCAAGTGACTCCATCAGAACTGACATGTCTGAGCCCAGTTCCAGGGACTCCACGTTCTCCTTAAGTCTCTCGACCACCTTAGGACTCTAACCCGCTGTCAGAAACCATCCCGTTTACAGTGGAGGAAACTGAGCTCCAAGAGGGGTAGCTGGTCAGGGAGAGGTTTCATAGTTTGTGAGGAGTTCAGATTCGAAGCCATGTCTGTCTGATCCCAGAGCCCTTCCCTCTGCAGAGACCAGGGGCACGACTTAGGGACAGAGGACTTGGCTGTGTGTCCCTGCAGACAGTCGCTTCCTGGCTAGAGGAGCTTGAGCTCATGTAACAGAAAAGATCAGGGATCAATTTGTCTTCGGGTCGGTCGGCTTCAGGTGTGGCTAGATCCAGGTGCTCAGAGAGGTCGGGTATCGGTCTCGTCTCTCGTGCTATCAATCACCCTCCTCCATGCCAGCTTTCCTCTCAAAGGGGCCCTCCCCAGGCTGTGGCCGGGATGGCTGGGCAGCTCCAGGCTCCCATTTTGCTTAGTTTAAACTAAAGTCCCAGAATTCAGGCTGATTGGCTGGCTTCGGTCACCCTTCCCTCCCTGAACCAGTCACTGAGACCAGCATGATGAGATGCTCTGATGAGCCAGAAGGGACCCGTTCACACCCTGCCCTGGAGCCTGGGTGGGGGCAGTGGGTGTCAATACCCCTGGGCAATCTAGACAGAAAGTGTGTTTGGGGTGGGGTGAGTCCCCAGAGGGACTCGGGCCGTAGAAAGGGACAGATGCCAGTGTCTGATGGTGCCCACCCAGCAGAAGTCAGCCTGGCCCCGTGGTTCGGTGGCCGCAGAAGCAGGGGTGTTCGGTTGGGGGGTGGGAGGCTGGTGTTTATAAGGTACAGGAAACATGGGGAGCTGAGCGGTTTTCCTTGTGGGGGCAGAATGTGCAGGCGTTTATGCTGCGCGCAGAAGCTGCCAGGGCCCCCAGGGGGTGTGGGGCAGGCTCCCCTGCCCGCCTCCTCCGGCTTCCAAATATTTGTCTGTGCTGACAGCTTCGCTGACAAGGCCTCCTGCTGCAGCCCTTGTTTAACCAGCATGAGCCACCCGGGAGTTCCCAGGGCCAGGCTGGGCCAGGCAGGGCATGGCTGGGAGAAGCAGCGGGCCTTCCGGCCGCTCTGAGGGCTGCAGGGGCTCCAAACAGAGCAAGGGCCCTCCCTTCCCCCAACCCCTCCCGCCCCGCACTCGGTCAGAAAGACCTTCCCTAAGCAAACACCATTTCTAAAACTTGGGGGGGAATCAGGCAGCACTCATTAGATTTTTTCATTTAAAATGTTGAGGCAACCATCTGAACAGCAGCGCACACAAAGGCAGCAGAAGGAAAAGATTTGATTATCTTGGGGATGGAGAGCCAGCACGGCGTCTGGTTTCCAGAAGCAGAAATAAACAGCTCGAAATGTCTCCCCAAACACTTGGAAGCCTGGGCAGCTCTTACGAAATGAAGCGCCCAGAGGGTCCAAAACGCACAAGGATGACCATCGCCAACACCCACACTCCGAAGGGAGGTCTGAGCCCTGGCTTGCACCGCCAGTGACAGGCGCTCCCGCCCTTCCCAGCTCCCAGGCTGCTCCTCCCATGTGTCAGCAGCTCTGGCGGCCAGAAAGCCCCCACAGAGAACGGAAACCGCTCTCTGGGACCCCGCCCCCCAGTCAGAGCCCACCCAGAACAGGTCCTTTGCCTTTGACAGCCGCAGTCAGCATTTCACCTTGAGAGCTTCCTTCGGCCGGACCAGCCCCAATCCCCCGGGCTCCTCTGTGCCCCACCCAGGGCACCTGGAAGTCCCTGCTGCTGCGCCTGAGCAGGGGTGTTGCCCAAGGAGGCCCTGCCCTTGCCTGCTGTGCCCCAGCATGTGCATCTATGTGGTGTGTGTGTATCTGTCTGCACTTACATGTGTGTATCAACGGTATTCCTGTGTGTGTGTTTCTATGTGTGTGTTTCTATGTGTGTGTGTTTGTGTGTGTGTGTGTGTGTGTATGCACAAACATGCACGCACAGGTGAGCGTGTGGGTGGGTGTACAGGTCCCAGTCACTGAGTGTCCTGTCTCCACCACCGTCACAGGGTGGCAGTCTTGGACGTGCTCATCTGACCTGTACGCACTTGGCGGAGGGAGTGCAGGCGGGGGCTGTACTCCTCCCTCCTCATCACCTTCTGTGACTTGGAGAGGGGGCTCTGACCCTGTGTAGTCTATTTCCTACCCCAGAACCCTGGCCAGCCAGCCTGTTCTCTCCACTTATTGGATAAGGACACAGCAGCTCAGAGAGGCTGAGGGACATGCCCAGGGTCACACAGCCACTGAGCGACCGGGCTGGGATTTTAACCCAGAGGGCCCAGTGCTCTTGTCCCACCATGCCTCCGTGCCACTGGCTGGGATTCCGGGCGGGGTGTGTGGGTGGAGGTGTGGGTGTGGGTGGGGAGCAGCATCCATTCAGTCAGCAAACAGTTGCCAACCTGCTTTAGGCCAGGCCCTGGGGAAGCTGGGCGGTGACACCCAGGCCTGCCCTGGAGGAGCCCCCTATTTGGGAAGGTCAGGCCAGCAAGCAAGCTGAGGTTGGAATAGATAGCGCGGGGGCCACGCGTGCGGCGACCACACAGTGTCGGAGGCGCTGACCTCCTCTCGCTCTGCACGGGACGTGGGTGGGGGAGCACCAGGGGGTCTGGGGGAACCCGGGAGAGTCTCCCCAAGAAGGCCAGGGACCCACGATGAGCTAACGGGAGAGGAGAGTTTACCCCAAGGTCCAGTGACCTGCCCGAGGCCACACAGGCCAAGCCAGGCCCCAGCCTGGGAGGGACGTTACAGCCAGGCCTCTCCCTCCTTCTCTCGGGCCAGAACCTCTTCGACAGCATCAAGAGCGAGCCCTTCTCCATCCCCGAGGACGACGGCAATGACCTCACTCACACCTTCTTCAACCCTGACCGCGAGGGCTGGCTGCTCAAGCTGGGTGAGACGCACGCGCACTCAGGCACACAGGCACACGCAGGCACACACTCGGGCACACTGGGGCACATGCTGACACACACAGGCACACAGTCATGTGCACTGGGGCACATGCTGACACACTCAGACACATGGGGTCACACGGCTGACACACACAGGCACACACTCGGGCACACTGGGGCACATGCTGACACACACAGACACATACTCAGGCAGACTGGGTCACAGGGCTGACACACACAGGCACATACTCATGCACATTGGGGCACATGCTAACACATTCAGGCACACTGGGTCACACGGCTGACACACACAGGCACACACTCATGTGCACTGGGGCACATGCTGACACACAAAGACACATACTCAGGCACACACTCAGGCACACTGGGGCACATGCTGACACACTCAGGCACATACTCAGGCAGACTCGGTCACAGGGCTGACATCAGGCGCACACTCATGCACACTGGGGCACATGCTGACACACAGGCACACACTCAGGCACACTGGGTCACAAGGCTGACACACTCAGGCACACACTCATGCACACTGGGGCACATGCTGACACACACGCACACACTCAGGCACACACTAGCCAGACTGCTCATGCACACTGGGGCACATGCTGACACACAGGCACACACTCAGGCACACTGGGTCACAAGGCTGACACACTCAGGCACACACTCAGGCACACTGGGGCACATGCTGACACACACACACAAGTTGACATGCAACCTCAGGGTGGAGTCAAGCCGGTCCAGACCTCCTGACTCCCGGTACAGCCATCTGTCTGCCCCATCTCTCCATCGGTCTGTCCTGGGAGTGAAGGGGATGGTGGGGGAGGGAAGGACAAGCAGGAAGAGAGGCAAATGCTGACAGACCCACAAACCCTTCACCTCCAGGTCCTCTCCCTTCCCGAGGGCCACTGAGGAAGCTAAGGCTCCATGAAGTTAGGGCACCTGCTGGAGGCCACAGGCAGCGAGTGGCAGATCCTGGTGGGCAGAGGGCGGGGTGTCCCTGAGGACAGAGGGGGCAACAGGCTGACAGAAAGTGGCTCAGGGGAGCCTCCCCCAACATGAGGGCCTAGACCTGCAGAGAGGAGCCGGGGTGGGTGCTGCGGTGGTGTGGGCGGCAGCTGCAGAGTCTGGTAGGGGAACCACAGGGCCCAGCCCCGGCCCCCACTCCCACTCCTGACGCCTCCAGCAGGGACCGCTTAGCCGGGCACAGGGGCCTTCTGCAGCAGGGGGGTCAGCTGTGACATGGGCAGAGTAATCACTGGGAGGCTTGACTGCAGCAAAACGGCCAAGCGCTTGCCTCTGGAGCTCTGCCCTGGCGGGTTCGAATCTCAGCTCTGCAGAAGATTCTTGAGCAGAGACTTGGTCTCCTCATCTGTGAAATGGGTTAATAACGATCTCCTCCTCACAGGTGCAATTAATAAGTGATTATTATTTAAAACCCTCTAGAACAGCGGTTCTCAACCTGTGGGTCGCGGCCCCTTTGGGGGTCAAACGACCCTTTCACAGGGGTCGCCTAAGACCATCGGAAAACACATATAATTACATACTGTTTTTGTGATTAATCACTCTGCTTTAATTATGTTCAATTTGTAACAATGAAAATACATCCTGCATATCAGATATTTACATTATGGTTCATAACAGTAGCAATATTACAGTCATGAAGTAGCAACGAAAATAACTTTATGGTTGGGGGTCACCACAACGTGAGGAGCTGTATGAAAGGGTCGCGGCATAAGGAAGATTGGGAACCGCTGCTGTAGACTGTTGCCTGGCTAAGGAAAGATGAAACGCTCAGCCCAGCGCCAGGCAGGGAGCAGGCCAAGGATGGACCGAGGGGCGGGCGGCAGGACAGCCCGCGAGTGGCCAGCCACCGTCGGGGTCTGATCATGGAGGAGCCTCGCAGGCTGGGTCGGGCAGCTCAGGGAAAACCTGGGGGTGCGGAGCAACTAAGACTTCTGAGAAAGAAAGGAATAGACCTGGGGGAAGTGCAGCCGGCTAGGAGCTAGGGGCCCAGCGGGGGGGAAAGCACCCAAGGCCCTGCTCTTCCGGGGGGAGCATCGCCGCCGGTGGGAGGAGGAGGAGGAGGAGGTCGAGGAGGAGGAGGAAGAAGGGGTGGAGGAAGAGGGGGAGGAAGAGGGGGAGGAGGAGGACTGACTCCGAGTTGCCCTCTTGCAGGAGGCCGCGTGAAGACGTGGAAGCGGCGCTGGTTCATCCTGACCGACAGCTGCCTCTACTACTTCGAGTTCACCACTGTGAGCCCGCCCTGCCCCTGCCCCGCACCCCCTCTGCACCTCCACGCAGCAGTCCCCTCACAGAGCTGGGGCCCTCTGAGATCACACAATCCACCTCCGCACCCATTTTACAGATGAGGAAAACTGAGCTACGAAGAGGAGGAGGGGCTGGGCCAAGGGCCAAGGCATTAAAGTTGGGTCTCCTAACTCCCAGCCAGGGCTCTCTCGGTGCTGCTCCCCGTCCAGGGCTGGACAGAGTCTGGGAAGATAGGGGTCCTCCCCTTGGTTTTAGGGAGCCCCACCAGCTCGCTCCCCTGTCCACACCTCAAGGCTCCAGTTGCTGATCATGACCTCCCCTCTGGTTCCCCTGCAGGACAAGGAGCCTCGAGGAATCATACCCCTTGAGAACCTGTCGGTGCAGAAGGTGGACGACCCCAAGAAGCCGGTAGGTGTCAGAGTGGGGACCTGGGAGGCCGGAAGGGCTGGTGGGAGGAGAGGGCGGTTGGGCTGGGTTCTCCAGCAGGCTAGGCCAGACCCCCTACCCCCCCCCGGGGCGGGGAGGGGCTCAGAGCTGCCTCCATCTCCCTCCTGAGGCCATGGACCCTGCCCCTGCCCCTCTGCCTCTCAGGAAGCAGGCCTGGGGCCAGGTGTGTGCTGCTGCTTGTCCAGGCAGGTCTTACCCAAGAGCCTCGTCCTCTCTGACCTCCTGGAGAGTCCAGCCCAGCCCCCCTCTCCTCCCATTCCTGCCCTCACCTGGCTGCCTCCCCACAGTTCTGCCTGGAGCTCTACAACCCCAGTTGCCGGGGCCAGAAGATAAAAGCCTGCAAGACGGACGGTGACGGCAAGGTGGTGGAGGGCAAGCATCAGTCTTACCGGATCTCGGCCTCCAGCGCCGAGGAGCGGGACCAGTGGATCGAGGCCATTCGGTAAGGGATGCCCAGCTGCCGGGATGGGCTTCCTGTCACTTCCCAGAAGCCCCTGCTTCTTTCGGGCCTTCTTTCCTGTCTGCAAAGGAGGATAACTCCAGAATCTCCCTCCTGCCTCTGGCATGCAGCTCCCTCCCGCCCGTACTCTGTGCGCACTTCTCTAGGCCAGCACAGTGCCAGGCGCCAGGGCACAGGGGGTGCGGCACCCGCTCCATGGGGCTGGCGGGAGGCGCAGAGGAGAGGTCAAATGCCCAGCTCTTTGCCCAGAGCCTGACATTGGTCGGAGCTCAGGAAGGCGCTGTAGTTAGCGTCAGGATCCTAAGTGGCCCTGGGAAGACCTGGTAGAGACGGAGGGACAGGTGTTCCCGGTGGGAGGACCAGTGTGGGCAAAGATGAGAGAGCAGGTCAGTGCGTGGCACAGTCCTGGCGGCTGGTACTGGGCAGCGTGGGGCCTGACTGTGTGGGGACAGGGCACTGTGGGGGCTGAGCAGTGAGAGATGAGGCAGCAGAGGATGGCAAGGCCTTGGCTGCCATGGCAACGAGCTTGGATTTCTCGGGGGGCCCTGAGGAGCCACAGGTGGGTAAAGAGAGAAGGGGTGTGGCCAGGTGAGAAAGGCTACGGTGTAGGGGCCATGGAGGGACAGGCCATGGAGAGGCAGGGCCAGGTGAGGGGCAGGATAACAACCTTGACTCTGAGCCATGGGGAGATGCGGGCAAGGGCCAGAGGAAGACCTAGGACCAGTGTCTGGACCGGGGCCATGTCCCAGGAGCTTGAAGGGTCTTTTCTCTCAAACTTGGCAGCAGCTCTATTAGGCTGCCAGTTCGAATCCATTCTCACTTCCGTTTTACAGATGAGGAAACTGAGGCCCAGAGCGGGGAGGGACTTGCCCAGGGCCACCCTGACAGTGAGGGACAGAGCCAGGCCAGCCAGCAGGTCTGACTCCATCCAGGATCTTTCCACCTCCTCCTGAGGGTCTGATGGAGCCTGCAGGGGGGTGCAGGGACATTTGGGGGGGCAGACTTTCCCAGGCTTTCAGCTCTCAGCCTCCTCTTTCCAGCCCTGATCATGGGCCTCTGGGTTAGGCCAGCGAGGCCAGACACTGCCGGCCTGGTCCCGGGTCCTGGTTGGGGTCATCTGGCCTTTCCCTGCGAAACCCACGCCCCTATCACAAGTGCTGGGAGATAGGGTGCCTTGATGCTGGCTCAGCCCCCCACTCTTTCACCTGCTCCCCTTCCAGGGCCAGCATCACCCGTGTCCCCTTCTACGACCTGGTCTCTGCTCGGAAGAAGAAGATTGCCAGCAAGCACTGAGCTCCTGGGAGGGGTGCTGGGCCAGGCGTCCCGGAACCCCATGACTATGGTACCTGGAGACCCACCTCCCAGTCCAGGGCACCCTTTCCTGGCCTGCAGACACCCTCCCCTCCCCCGTTACTTGGAGCTGACAGAACGGGGAGGCGGAGCTCAGGAAGGTGGGTGGGAACAGCTGAGGGCCCCAATGGCATTGAGGCCCCTCGGCACCCAGCTGCTGCCAGGAGAGGCCTGAGGAAGCGGGCGAAGAGAAACCAGCCCCCCGTCCTCTCTCTGGGCCTCAGTTTCCTCTTCTGTGACTGTCTCCTCGCACTCTGAAATGCCGTCAGGCCTCACGGCAGGAGGGCCGTGGGGTTCCTAAGCTCCATCCCCAGGGCACTGTGTGCCTTCTGCCCAGGGCTCACTCCTCCTCCGGTTCCTGGAAAACTGGGGGATGTCTTGGCCCCTCTGGCTCTGTGCTTCCCACCATTGCACCCGGTGAGGGGCGCCTCGGCCCCAGTGCAGGCCCCAGCAGTCAGCCCCTGACTGCCTCCCTCCTCTCAAACTGCTTCCTCCAGGCAGATGGACGGGATTGCACCAGGTCCCCTAGGGAGCTTCCAACTGGAGATGTCTGCACTTGTTTACTGAGCTGGAGGGGACTCTGGACTGGAAGCTGCGGGGAGCCCAGAGCAGAGTGGGCTCCGCCCTCGGGATGTCCATTTCAGGGGAGGCGCCGACAGGACTCCCCAAGAAAATGGCGCAGAACATCCCAGGCAGATGTACTCGAGCAGGACTGGTGGCACAACCAAGAGGCCAAGAAGAGAGAGCTTGTGAGTGTGGATTCCGGGAAGGCTGCCTGGAGGCAGCGGCCAAGTCGATGAGTGACACGGAAGCTCATGGCAGAGTCTCAGCCAGGCTTCCCTGCGAGACCCCTGAGTGGTTCCCATGCTGGTGAGGGGCAGCCCAGCTGGCCCCACATCCCGGGACCCTCTGCAGCAGCACGCAGAGAGCCGAGCCGACTCCCCAGCAACTGACAGGCTTCTGTCTCCAGGGAGGCCCAGCCTGGAGGAGGATTCCTCCCTCGAGCAGGCTTCTTCTCAGAGGCACTTCTCACCCCCTCACCAGGTCCTGGGGGAGCCCCTGGAGGGAAGTTCCCTGAAGGAAGCAGCATATGGGGTTGCCTCTGCCCACTGCCAGCCTGAGTGGGCGAGCAGGAGCTCGGGGGTTCCCCAGGGGAGGGGAGGCCACCTCTCTTCTCCCCATCGCCACCCCTCCACGGGGACAGGAAGGCGGCTGCCTGGTGGAGGGAGACCCCCCATCTCTGGGAGTGTGCAAGTGCCTGCTATGAGATGGCACTGAGCAGGCGCTGGGCTGGGCTGGGCTGGGCTGGGCAGCTGCAGGAGGCGGCCTTGCAGGACATGTCGGGACTTCCCAGACCCCGGGTCAGCCTGGGAGCTGACCTCCACCTCTGCCACCTCACTGGCCCATGAAGGGGCAGCCAGGGGTCATGGGAGGAGCACTGGTCTGGGGGTCACGGGGTCTGAGGTCCTCTTCCTGCCACTGCCATCCGCTCACTGGCTGTGTGATCTGAGTCCACTCCCGTCCCCTCGGTCCTCAGCGCCTCCCCTCACTGAGGGGGAACCAGTGACTGTCTGGGCACGAGGAGCATGAATCACTGAGATGAGAGAATAAAAGTCATGATCCACCTCCGGGGTGGGGCCTGTCCTCTCTCTGTGACCACTTCTGCCGTCTTTGACCCAGTCCTGGCCCTTCACCGTCATCACCTCCCCTGCTGAGGGCAGGAGGGCCAGGCAGGGAAGAGTGGGCACTGCAGGGGGGGGTGGGGTTGGACCCTCACCCTCAGGACACTTGAGGCTGCCACACTGGACAGACATCCCCGAGGGCCGGGTGTGCCACAGGGCTCTCTCAGAGCAGGGGTGGGGCGAGCTGGTTCTGCTGGAAAGAGCTGCTGCCTGGGGGGAGAGGTGATGAGCTCCCTGTCTGTGGAGGGATGCAAGCACAGCTAGCTCTAATGACCCTGTGGGGAGTTGCAGAAGAGCTTGAAGGTGGTGACCTTCCTTTACTTGTACTTCTTACAATATTTATTAGATTCCTCCAGGGTCCCAGGCGCTGTTCCAGGCACTGGTGAATCCCTGCCCACTGGGGCTTACATTCTAGCCCAGGGGTGGGCAAAGTTTTTGACTCGAGGGTCACAGTGGATTCTTAAACTGGACTGGAGGGCCGGAACAAAAGCATGGATGGAGTGTTTGTGTGAACTAATATAAATTCAAAGTAAACATCATTACATAAAAGGGTACGTCTTTTTTTTTAGTTTTATTCATTTCAAACGGGCCGAATCCAGCCCGCGGGCGGTAGTTTGCCCACGACTGGTATATGGTGTACTCTTTACTTCATGCTGAGAGTATGCTGTTTATTCAGGCGTTCCCTGTTGATGGACATTCACTTTGTTTTCAGTTGCTTAGTGCTGCAATAGTATTCTTGTATGTATCCATTTGTTTTCCTACTTTTGTTTCTATTGCAGTTGGCTCCCAGAAG